TTTCCTGGAAACCGCACCAAAATGCTGCTTTCAAACTTTCACAATTGAGAATTTATAATAATTTCTCTGACATATTGCTTTTTTTTTTCGAGTTTTCGAAACAAACGTCCAATTTTTTACTGTTGACAAGGTCCCATTTTAGAAGTTCTACAGTAACGCCATGTTTTTTTACAACAAATTAGTTCAACTTTTCTTGGTTTATAGCATTTGGTTGCCTTTGAGTATTCAGGTAATTTTCTCCTCTTGCACTTGTATGTTATGATTCTCAGAGTACCTTTAGCTCTGTCTTTGTGAACTACATTAGAAGAACAAGTCTAGGTTTGAGTAGTTTAAAAAATTCATGTTTTGAGAAGAGCACGTTAGTTTCCAACATATATTTCTGAGGTTTCGATTTGAAACGAAGCAAACCGAAAAAAAAACAAACAAACTCTTTTCGGTATTGAAATCAGAATTTTGGGGAACTCCTGTAGGGAAAACGAATTGCAGGATTATGCAGGGTTATTTCATTCCTTTTTTTCTGCTGAAGGTGTTAATGTTTAATGCCTTATGACACTGCTTTTACTTTCTTTTCTTTGCTAATGCGACTGTAACGTGCATTTCCTCAAAAGGGACTGTCTTTGTTAGTATCATTTGACGCAGATTTTTGCATAATCTTTGGTGTAGCGCCAATTCCTATTGTTCTGTTTCTAAACTTAGCTGGTTTTTGCTCTAAGTTAATTTTCAGTAGAATAAGAGGCCACTGCCTGCTTGATGTTAGCTTCTATTAATAACTGTTGCTCTTGAGCTCTACTCTTCAGAGTAATAAACTTACAAAAAGAAGAAATTTTTTTATATTTTTTCGTACAGGTCCAGTAGAAATAAAATTTATTGTGGAAGTGAAAAAATGATGTGGAAGAATTAAAAAATATTGGAAAATAAATCTCACCTGGAAATCGCTTTTTTCATTGATATCTGCCCCGTTTTCAGTTAACAACCTCACTAACTCGATTTTACCGTTTTTAGATGCTACATGTAAGGGAGTTTCCTGGAAAACCGAACCAACTAGCTACCAAATTTTGATGGTTGAGAATTAATGAAAATTTTTGCACATTTTCGCAGTCGATGGTGAATTTTTTTATTGCTGCCAGGTGTTTTTTTGAAATTTCTGCTGGAGAGCAAATTTGCTGACAATAGACATTTTTAATATTTTATGAAAATCGATGATTAGGAAAAATACAAAAAAATTTTTTCGCTTTTAATGCAAATTAATCTCACCTTCATTTTCTGCAATTTAACTTTTTGACTGTAATAAAAAATTCGAAAAAATGCTTCTTTTTTTACTAATACTTTGTAGCTATTGTTAATGCTCTTTTATACTTGCTGATCAGTTCAGATTACTCATAACTGGAAAATTTTTGGTCAACTTGTTTTGCATCTTGTGAGGAGATGCAATTATCATTGTAAATTAATTACCCTGCGCAAACATTAATTACCTGATGGGTGTTTTTCGCGTTGATTTCTGCTCCATTTTCTATTAAAAACTCAGCTATTTCGACCTGATCATTTTCAGTTGCGATGTGCAAAGGAGTTCGCTAAAAAGTGAAATTAACTAGTTCTAATTTTCAATACCTCTGAATCGTTCACAATTAATAAAAATTTCTGTAACATATGGCACATTTTCAGGACAGATGGTCGGTTTTTTATATTTTTGTTGATACAAAGCCTCAACTAATAAGAAGTTTACTGGCAGTGAACAGTTGCGGATTCTTGAAAGAATTAAAGCTTAGAACACTGTTAAAGCTTCTGTTATATTTTTTCTTTTGTGAGCGACTTGCGCTTTCTTTAATTTATTGCATCTTTTCACAGTGGAGTTATCAAACAGTTTTTCTATTTTTTGTTAGTACTTTTGACTACTTTTAAGAACAACTTTTTTTTTGTGATATACATTAGCAAAGGTAAGTTAGGGTCTGAGTAGCTTAAGTCATTCACACTTTGAAGAAAACGTCTAATTTTTCAGTTTTTTGGAGTCTTAACTTAAAGCAGATTGAAATGGATTAGATGCTTCTTCTCATTTTATAGACAAAATTTAGAAATGTTGTGAAGAGCAAAGCTCGCTGTGAGAGGGACATATAAGGATCAACGAGTGCTGAAAAATAAATTCACCTTCACCCGATCCTTCGCATTGACATTTGCCCCTTTTTGAGTCAGAAACTTCACTACGTTGATTTGGCCTTTCGCGGATGACAAGTGTAAGGGAGTCTCCTAAAAAATAGAATTGACAGGGTTTACTGTCTAAAATCTTCAGACTGTTCAGAGTTGCTGAATGCTTTGATAAAGTTATGTTCATTGTCAAAGTAGATGTTCAGTCATTATACTAATGCTGAGTGTAGCATCAAGAAGTCTGCCGTACCAACAAGCTTGTTGACAGCGAAAGTTTGGAAGATTTTTGAAGGATTAAATCTCAGAAGACGACAGAGAAATTTTTTCTGGTTGACCAGTTAAACTTTTTTCAGTCTATAACGTTTTAGCTGGATAGATGTATTTGTGCAATTTTCTTCTTTCTTGTTGTCGTATTTTAATAATTTTTGGAGCAGATTTATTTCTTTCTCTGTCATGTACACAACGGAAAAAAATCAACGTTTGGGTAGCCTAAAGTCATTTTTTAAGGCTGCACCAAAGTTTTCAAAGGTTTTTTAAAGCTAAACTCAAAAAAAGCCTTAGTCAAGTGAGGTAAGTTCTTCGTCTTGTTTCAAAAAACGAAGATTAGTGTAAGTGCTGTAAAATAAAAGGATTAGTAAATAAGTAAAAAAAGTAAATTTTACTTGTGAGTCATTTGCTGCATCGATTTCCGCTCCATTTTCAACTAAGAACTGAACCATTTCTATCTGACCTTGCTCAGATGCGGCATGTAAAGGAGTTTCCTGAGAAATGTACAAGTTAGTTCTCGTTTTTTAATTTTTCAAACTGCCTTGTCATGTAAAATTTTTTACGACATTTTTTGCATTGTTGCGTCAGACTTCCGGCTTTCCATGTTACTGCTGATGTGTAAATTTGAAAAGTTACGATAGTGGGAACGCATGTTTGTGAAATTTTTAGAAGGTTAAAATATGTGACATAATAAACAAATTCTTTATTCTTCTGTTCACTCTTTCCGCTTTTCCTATTTTATAACTTTTTAATTTTAATGGAGTTTCCAGATAGTTTTTTTCGTGTTGTTGCGTTTTAATAATTGTAAAAACAATTAAAGCAGCTTCTCATCTCCCTTTTTGATGTAGATCGGCGAAAATAGATTAATATTTAGGTAGCTTGACTAATTCACACTTCTGAGAATGCGCCAAAGTTGTCTAAGATTTTTGTATACTTCTCATTTTAATGAATTCGGTCGGGAAGAGGCCAGCTTTTACGTGTATCTTCAAATCAGAATCGCGGAAAGCTTGAAAGTGGAAATGAAAACCATTGCGTGAGTGGGACTAGAAACGGTAAAATTGGCAAACTGTTAGAAATGAAAAATTTACTTTGTATTTATTGGTCACGTTCACATCTTTTCCACTTTCAACGAAAAACTCTGCCACCTCAATGATACCATTCCTAGATGCATAGTGAAAGTCAGTGTCCTAAAAAATTGAGTGAATTGATTCTAGTTTAGAAACTTTTGAAAGTGCTATAAGCAGCTGACTTTTTAATCAATTTTGCATAAGATTTCAGCAAATGTTCAGTTTTTTGCTGCTCTGCTGTCGTGTAGCTCCGAAAATTGCGCAATAAGTAAAGACTGTCAAGAATGGACTGTTGTAGAAGTTTTTTAGTTTGCAACTTGGTGGAAAAGAACTTTTGTCACTTATTTGCACTTTTTCTTAGCCTACAATATTTCATTCACACTGAAGTATTCAAAAAGTTTTTTATCTTTTTCGATTACTTTTTGATAATTATGATTCTCCTTCTCTCCTTCCTGCCTGTTGCACATTATCAGAAATAGAGGAACCTTAGTGTAAGATTGAACCACTAACGCTTTGAAAAATGCGTAAAAGTTCTCATAAAACTTTAGAATTTTTTTTCCCTGAAGAAATTCAACCAAACAAGGTAAGGTTTCTCTTCCGTTTTTCAAACCAAAGTGTGGGGTGCTCTCGGGAAAAACTGAGAAGCTGTGCCTCAAGTTGATAAAGAAGGATAAGAAAATGTTAAAGACTAGAGAAGAAAGGAGAGCAAGAGAAAAGATGCTTACCAAAAAAATTGTACTTACAAAGTTAACCGGTGTATTTCTCTTTTTTGGTCTTTTTTGGAATGCTTGTATCCAACGTTTTACGTAATTCAATGGCAGAAGGGCAGAGTATATTTTTACAAAAGTTATTCTGACTGTAGTATGCATGTGTGAAAAGCAGTGAAAAATATTTTCTACGGTTGCATCAGTAAGTATCATCCGTAGTTATTCAGAATCTTTGGCGCGATGGAAATGATTTTTGTTTTCAGAGGTTTTGAAGCGTGCAGAAATGATTCTTTTCCTTCTCTATTAAACTCACTTTGACTTTTCTAACCGAAGAACTGCATTCGCATTAATGAGTTTTTGGAAGCAAATCAGCAAATAACAAAGACTTTTGAATTCTGCAACTTTTTGAAAAATAGCACACCCCGTCAATGTATCGTTGATTGACACTTTCGTCATGTATCGGCAAGCTTTCAACAGTATCAATGTCCGTATCGCTTTCCTTAATATTTTCATTATGTTGCGGCAAGTCTCCGATGGTACCACTGCTTGTCCTCTTAGATTTCTTTCTCTAAATAGACTGGATTAGTCATAAGTTCAATTACTGTTGCTTTTTAACTGTTTTACACTTTAATTATTGAACGCATAAGAGGAAATTTGGTTCTTTTGCTGATTTTGGCTTTTCTCACGGTTTTTACAGTAGTTGTTTATTTGAATTTAATATACAGTTTGCAAGAAGAACTCGTTTTGCAAAACTGTGTGTCGCGACAGCACGCGAAACGCACATGCGCTACAAGGGCGACGTCACTCCCTGAAGGGGCGTCTTCAGAGGGGGGTGACTGTCGGTCCTTCAAGTGGCCCCTACAGAAAAGGGACAGCAGGTCAGGCGACAACTGAGTAGGTGTAAAAGTAGTTGAAAAGCTTCTTGGGTTTGTTATTCGTTGTTTTTCATTAGTTGTTCAATTATTCGTCGTTTATTGATCGGTTATCGTCATTGTTAGCGATTAGTTCTAAGTTGGCAATTATGATCGTTTTCGCTATCGATTGATTATTTCCTCACTGTTTAATATTTTGCATTCCTTCTCTTTGTTAATCCTTATTATTGGTTATCGTTCAATAGTTTTTCTTTGTTTTGTTCTTATTACTTTGTGCATCTTTTCTTTTATTTTTTTTGAAGTTGTAGTACCTGTGCACGGCTATTTTCCTTATTATCAGGATTATACTTTGTACTAGTGTACGTCCAATCTCCTATAAAACTATTAGTCAAACTAGGTGTTCACATACCATCATTGCTAGCTTAGTTAGCACCACAGAAATAAATAGTTCCAAAAAATACACTCTACAAACACTACAAAAAATTACAGTCACTGGTTGGTGCTGTAGCACTCAAACAGCTATTGGGTCTACAGTATGAAATAAAATTTTTTCGAGCTAACGACGAGCATATTAGGAAAAAGGCTTTGACCGTCGTTCAATTCAAAAGGTTGTTGGTAACCGCAGCAATGCGTTTCTTTCACTGACAGATGAATTGTCTCAGCATAAGCATTTATTTATATTTTGTAAATAAAAATTTAGTACTTGAAGAAGAGTTTTAGATAATTTTGAGTACAAAACGAGCAGAGCATTAAAACAAGCAAGATGAAGAGAAGAGAAGTAATATACTTTCTTTAAAATAATTCTGTAAATGTTTTCTTGCCTTGGTTTTTTTGCAGAAAAGTATTATATGTACAGATAACTACTTTTTTATGCATCACTAGTTTATGGAATAAACCTTTCTAAAACTCCTTGTAATTTATCCTTTTTTTACAAAAGGTTACTATTTAGTGTTAGGAAGAACCTTTAATTATTGCTACTCTTTTCTTATTCATTTTTGGTACTGTCAATACTCTTTTAATTTCAGCGTCTCTTAGGCAAGTATGTGAACAGCAAAAAAGAAATAATTGGCGCTGGTAGGGGTTGAGAGTTTTATAATTAAGAAACTGGAAGAAATAAACGTCATTTTCTATGAGTTCCAAAATAAGCGATTTTTCTAATACAGTGATTTCTTTTCAACTCCTGCATAACACTAAACTTTACAGAACGAAAATGTTTTGAACTTGACGTTTTTTTCATCACTTCGTTTATGCGGTAGTTACAAGATCAAAGTTGAGTAATGATAAGTTTTGCTAGAAAATTTCACGCTCGAATTAGATAGATCATGTTTCGCAAATTTACACTTTTTGATGTTTCAGACCCACTGTTTTCTTCTATTTCCCGTTACGTAACAGAAATTTTTTGGAGAAACTTAAGCGAAATGTATTGTTATTTCTTCTAAACTTCTGCGAGGAAGTTGCTTATGAATATTTAAGAATATGATTGCGAGTTTTTCCGCTATTAGGGTAATGCAAAAGGATATATTTAAACGGAAACTATAGATGTTACCTTATTCTGTGAAGCGTTTGCACCCATTGGGAATCTCCAGCACTTTATAACAATTTTTTCGATAACACCAGAGAACTCGTCGCTACAGTGATGCTGTATCTGTAAAAATTACACAGATCTGTGAGCAACTTACTGTGGTTACAGGTAAAAATAACCAAAACAAAACAACGGATGAACTGCAAAACCTTTAGCGCAGTCTTTCTACTCACTGTATTACTCAGGCCTTCTTATCTAGCTTGTGAAATTATGATAGGAAAGTAAAACGCTGAGACATGAATGCAGTACAAACCTTAATTACCTAACGTGAATTCGCAACTACGTAACTAAAAATAGAAATTTGTCACTATCTCTTAAGATGCACAGTTCTGATGGTTGAGTTGATTAAATCTTGTACTTTTTATCAAAAGGGGCGTCGCTGTCGTCGCAGCTTCGTGCAGCCGTGGAGACATGTTGATCATGTCAACCTCAACTTCTGGACTGCAAAATCCTCTTCTCCTGAGAAAAAGTTGTGTTTTCAAGTTGGAGATTTATGAGCAACAGTGAGAGATTATAGGCGGGTTTGACATTTTTTTACAAAAACGGAGGCATAGCGGTTGGTGAGTAGTATGGAACAGTATTGTAAGACGGTCAAGACGATGACGTCATGTCAGTGGTGAAAAAAGTGTATGCTTTTTTATGCTTTGAGTATGCTCCCCGTTTCACGGACCATCCCAGCTGCTATGTCTTCATATGTGAGCCTTCGATGCTTGGCTCAATATTAGGACAAGCAAAAGACATCCTTTAAGCTCAAGTTTGATTTTTTAAAATATGTGCCGCTGTAGAAATCAAGTTTTTTACGGCACTCCCTCCTTTCGCACCTGAAGTATTCATTACCCTTAACCCTACCCTTCTTAACCTCTGTGCATAGAGTCATAACCCGCCCCCCCCTCCTACAGGAGCAAACGCGTACCAAGAATAACAATTGAAGAGAGACCATCCACCTTTCGGAGTCGTCGTCTGAAAGCGCAAGCCTTTTGCCGAGCGTCTTACGATTCAAAGAGATAAGAACATCTATGAGTAATAATTTTTTGCGAAACTAATGTTATCTTCGGCAATCTTGGCTCATAAGGCAGAAGAAATCCTTGCTTGAAGGCACGATGAGTATGAGATGAACTGTCTTAGATCTTAGTTTTCAGTTTTAGAATGGTGCAGAACTACTTAGTACAGCTGTCGGATTCCAAACCGGAGCTGGCATCACCTTCGCTTCGCTCAGCTCTGCCGCCCCCTTCCTCTTTGCCGCTGTCCCCTTCCAATTTGCTGATTTTCCCTTCACTGTCGCCTTACTCAACTTTTTCACCAAAACGCAATCAACCAATCAGCGCGCTGGGGCCGTCAGAGTGCAAAAGCGCAGGGGAAGATGCGCCGTGTGAAATTTTAAAGAAGTGAGTTTGCTCCAAATTTTTTTAAAACTGATTTAATGTTGAGGATTACTGACAGTTACTTGAAGTTTAAGCAGAGTATTAAACCTTCCTTGCTTTTTATCTACTTTGTAGTATTGACTACTGTCTGCCCATCTAGAAATTGCTTATGAAAGTCACAAACACTTTCGAGGAAAAACTTAAATAAATGTTGCTTAAATGCTCTAAATATCTGCCAAAATGAACGGTTTTCTAAAATAAACATAAGTCTTTAAACAGAAAATGAGGTGTTGTGACTCGCTGAAACCAAATCGTCTAAAATTAAAAATCGATGCTGGCGCCTGGGACTGGCGACGCCATATCAGCATCTAGGACCATTCGTAATTTGCGTAATATCTCCAGCTTCCTTGTAATACTATTATTCAGACCTTTTATCGAATTCTTTGATTGGTTTTACAGCAACGAAGACAGCAGAGGACGATTGAGACGGTTTGGAACAGGGAATGGCCGAAAAATGACCAAAATTGTCCAGTCCGTTTAGGCGTTGCTCAATTTCAACTTTTTCGTAAATACTCTCTATCACACGACGTCTTACCGGTGTTCTTGTCATCTTTTTACATTGTTTGCTTCGCATTGTCGATTATTGGCGATACATATTCTGTCAGGAGCTTTGGCATAAAATTTATACGTCATTCTTCGTTTCTCTCAGCAAAAAAATTATTCTGTGCGAAGTACAAACCAAACTACTAATGTATTCAAGTTGAGTAAACAAGAGTAACTAGGCTAAAAGAAGGAAATATGTATCATTTTTAAAATATGAGGTAAAAGTGAAATTTGCGCTTCTTGCAAGATTATTTTTTGCATAAAAAAGTTCTCTTACTTTCACTGGTGACATAAGTTGACTGTTTGGGGATTTTGTTGGACATGATTGGTAGTTTATATGAAATCACTTTATCTCATCTTGCAAATATTTAGAAGCCGGAATGAAATCACACAGCGTTTTCTTTGAATTATACTAAATGCATAGCAGCAAAAAGATACTGATTGCAATTTCTACGTTTAGTGAGCAAACTCCTAAGATTTAGGAAAACTGTTCAACTCACTGCTTTTCAGCTGTAAAGAATTTTATTGATTTTCTTTATCTTCATACATACTACGAGCTGTATTCGTGTCATCAGCAAAAAGTAAAGTTGGTATGCTAATCATTTTTGAAGACGTTTTTATTGCCGATAAGAAAAAAAGGCGAAAAATGTAAATAGATATTGAACATTTATATCGGAATGTATGACTTGATAAAAGAGGCGACGCCATTACCTACTGACAAAAGCGGAAAAAAAATTTCACTTATTTTTGAAAATTACGCAATGGTCAATAATACTTTGATTTCTATTTAGTTTTCTAAAATTTTTGCGCTTTTTGAAGGAACACTGTAGAAGATCGAGGCATATTACTGTGCTCATATAATCTTGAAACCAAAAATTATCTTTCCTTCAAACCAAAATACCTTTGAGTTTCACTGTTTCACGAAAAAACTGGTTATTATAACGGTTATTTATAACATGCCTTAATTTAGCTGTCTGTGAGACGATGTGAAAGCTCAGCACAAGAATTTTTAGATCTGTAGACGTAACTGAATTCCTCGTAGTGGAGTAATATAGTAGGTTATCAACAAGGGTAAAAGACAAAACTTTATTAGAAAACTAAACTTTTTTTTTCAGCTTATTGCAGCTGCTTAGCGTAGGTTTTGGAGAGGAGAATAAAAAGCAAAATATACACAACCAGCGCTTTGTATAGCAAAAGTAACAGCGAAGTTTGCAGTCATATTCGTATTAGATGACTGTAGAGTAGCTTTATCTTTAACATACTAACAAGATCTAGGTAATAAACGTAAGCCATAGATTAAAAAGGAGTAAAAAGATAGTTTTATCATTCATTTAAATTACTAGTAAATTAAAAAAAAAAGAGATTCAGGGGAACACAAACGGCACACTTGGATCTTGTTTCTTTATAACAATGCAGCGTTAAAAGTGAGCATAGTTTTTTATGCCTTTTAAGAGTCAACAATTTTATCATTTTTTTATTGACTTTGCAATTTTCATTTTTTTTTATTTTGGCATAAAATTCTAATATTAATTTGTGTTTTTCATTTTTTTTTTCTCATTACTAGAAAGAAATTTTTATCAAAAGGAGTCTAATCGGTATGCTTTAAAATGGACAAAACTGAAAAAAGGTTTATGTAGTAAAGTAGCACACTGAAAAGTCTGGCTGAACCTCACAAAACTTTAAAACCAGTTTCTGAGAAACTGTAGTTCACAATTGACTGTTACTGAGAGTCTACTGTGCTCAGAGAGAACATCTACACCGAAAAATATTTTATATCCGGGGGCTCAGAACGCACCGTAAAGTGATTTTGTGTAAAATACGTCTTCTATTCAGCAGACATGTTGAATAGTTAAAAACGGTCTATTCCACTTGTATTTTATTGTTTCTTCCATTTCACACAACAATTTTGCACAGAATTGTAGACGGAAGGAAGATTTTTTTAGACTATTCTTTTACTATTTCTCCAGTTTACGAGGTTGAAGAAGTTAAATGATTGCTACCTGCTTTATAACCATCAGTTCCTATAAAAACGCTTAAAAAAATAATTTTTTTTTAAAAAATAAAAAAGCAATCCATTTACCTTTTTGCACGAACAAAAATAAAAGAAGAAATTTAAATACATTGAAAATAGAAATAAATTTAGTTTTGGCGATTAGTTGTATCATTCTAAAGCTTAAAATTTTCAAGTCTGAAATACAAAGTTCAAAACAGAGAAATATGCAATTTTAATCTGACAAGGAATTTGTTGAAAGAATTTTTGGTGTTATTCACATCAGTTTCGGTTCTGTTTGACGCAGATTCAGAGTGGACAAACCAGCAGTATTGTAGGTGCCCACTAAGAATTTACGCAACTGATGTCAACTTCGTAATATGGCTCTAGCGACTGCCTGTGCACAATTTTCGTGATTTTGAGCTGCCGCGTTAGTCCGTTCAGCGAAAATATGAAAACTATTACTTCTTTTTGAACCACTGCCGTTTTCGAAGCTTCCAACGCCGTTCCTATCTAGAAATTGTCCATACTTCTTC